CGTTTAAAGGCCAAAGTACAACCAGAGTAAAGGTCAGTCATATTTCCCATGAGACGATCCTGAGCGCCCCTTCAAGATGATGTCGATGAAGACTGCAAGCTTTGATTGGTCATGGAGTCTCTCATGTCTCTGGGCAAGGCACACAAAGGTTTTTACAACTATAATGAAATATAATCGCCTAATCTGACTATCGTTACTGACAAAAAAAAAGCAGGAAGTCAAAACCTGGCATGAAAAATGAAATCATGTACATTCAAAATAACCTGGTAAAATAAATGTCTCGTTCAATAAATAATGTCCTGGTAACTCTGAATAACCTTCACTGTGGACAGATTTACAACTCTGTAAAAACAAGTGTGTAAACTTCTTAGGAAATAAATGCTGCTGTTGATTTTGAATGTATCATTACTTGATTATATAAGCAAGGAACATTTGATTATATTCACCTACATTGTGTGGTGGAGGTAACACATGCACAACATAGCCAAAAAAATCCTTGGATTGTTGAAGAGGTATTGTATAGATAACTCCTAATTTCAACTTCTCAAAAATATCTGTTTCTCATCCAATGCAGCACTGTGAGCAATGGGCAGAAATAGAAACGGGATGCCTGAGGAAAATAGTGTCACACTGTGCCAATTAGGACATAGAGACAAATAGAACACAATGCATCCAATTTAGATTTTTGCCACTGTTTCACATGCGTCAAATTGTGTTGGACTTTCTGGGACCTGCTAAAAATTGAAATATAAATATTCCTTCCAAAAAAACACAGACGTTCTTTTTGGCCAATTTTGATGCCAATGATTGAGATCAGGGCCCTGTGTCGAGTACTGTCTTACTAAAATGAGAGAAATAGTTCTTATTGGAGCTGGCCAAAAGCCCAATATTTGTACTCTACTAGGAAACAAAACAAAAGAACGTGCAGAACGCATTCGTTTTTGCTTGAAAATTTAATTAGAAATAATTGGAGACATTTCCTGTAGATTCAATACTTGTTTAACTGACTCGTTGCAGCTCCAGCAGCACAACATATTTGTTCTTTCAAAAGCAACCCCGTACCGAGATGGCATCAAAAATATGTAGACAAGCGGTTACACTGCAAAAACCAATATATTTGTTATTTGCCTGAACTAACCCTATCTTTATGAGGGGATTGTAGAACAGCAGTTTGAATACATTATAAGGCTATAAGCATGGAGGCTCTAATTACAAGTATAGAAAGAGAAAATCTCCACAAACATTCAGCCTGTGTGTATATATTGTCAGACATTCCCAGATGGAATGAGGATAGTCTGAGTCACTAACAGCATTTGCATAGTGCATCTTAAACTGTTGCCAGAAACGAGAACATGAAACCTCAAATGCATCTGAAAGCCTCGGCACAAACAAGCCCGACTCAAAGCAAGCAAATGACAGAGGTATTATCGCGCCCTTAGTGCTTGTATAAACAATAAAGTTGCACGTCTTAATGGCACAGCTGGAGAGACGGCGTTATCGCAGCGAGGAGTCACTGCGACACAAACAAACTCTGGCGCTGTTTTCAGGACCCGAGTGAGAAAAAAGAGGACTTTATAGAGTTGTAGCAGTCATTAACAGCAAGCCTGCTCTCTGCAATACTGCCTTATCTACGGCAAGGTGGAAGCATGGGGAGGGTAATTCTGCTCGAGGCTCATGTGCAAAGCCGAGATACAGAGTGAGAGGGAAGTGGAGGGAGAGAGGGAGAGATAGAGCTGGTTCATTTGCAGCTCGTCCCCTTAGACTGTGGAAAGGATTATACTTGCAGAGAGTGAGAGAGAGAGAGAGAGAGAGAGAGAGAAGAGAGAGAAGAGAGGGAGGGAGATGCACAGCTCTGTCTTAGCACACACTGAGTACCCATCTTCTACCCTGCACTCTCAACAGCTGCTCTCTCTCTCCTCCACACACACACACACACACACACACACACACACACACACACACACACACACACACACACACACACACACACACACACACACACACACACACACACACACACACACACACGTGCAGACACAAACACACCAGTGCCATGTAGAGTCTCGGGCCAAGAGGGGGGACACCAACCTGAACAGGACCACGAGCCAGGTACGTTCCTTTTCCGCTCACATCATGCAGCAGCAAATGTTTTGGGGTTGTCGCTGTGTAAGTGAGCCAGCCACTCACTCTCTCTGCAGAAGACTCTCGCGGGCTGCATGCACCAAGATTATCCGGCTTCTTTTTGCATAGCCCCGAGAGAACCAAAAAAGAAAGATAAGAGAGGAGCCAGAGAGGAGAGGAGGGGAGGGGTGGATGAGAGGACAGTGAAGACAAAAGCCAAACTCTTAGCAGTGTTTTCTCATGTAGGGCAGAGAAAAGTATGCAGCAAGCGGACAGCTAACCTGGGTCGACCTTCACGTGGAAAGTATTGCTTATACTACCTACCCCAGTACCTATCCAACTATAAGTGGGATAGGTACTGCCCACAAAGACCCACATCCCCTACCCCCAACTCTTAATATCTTCTCTCTCTCTAGAGGGCCGTAATAATAATCATATGCCGAACATGCTCAGGGGATTGGCAGCGATTGGTTGAAATGCAAATGGACATGCAAGAGTGATTAATGCTTCTTGTGAAATGCATGTGTCTGCTCTGTCCTCTGATGGTAACTCTTGCTCTAACTCCATGGCCCATAAAAACTCTTTAAACTCTTAAAAGGTCTATAATTGTCTCATAACCAATTTTATAGGTGTTCAAATTAATTCTCCACTGTTGTGTTAGCGGCTAATAATCAAGAGGATCCATGGAATTTCTCCAACTTGGTCTGAATTTCCATTCATTTTTCGTAAAATTTGACATGCAGAAACTAGGGATGCTCCAATCGCCAATTTTGGGGCCGATCGCCGGAATCAGTATCGACCGATACCGATCGCCGATCCGATCGAGTGGGCGGGACCTATGGGGTACTTCCATTAATTACTCCGGTAATGAGTGACCCGACGGAGGAATTAATATATTTATAACTAGTTTAGCTAGTTCCAGAGGTAGATAAAATAGCTAAGTGTGTTAGGTCTAACTCTTAGTGTGTGTGTTGCTCCGCTCAGCGGTCCGTCACAGCGGGTGGAGCTGCAGGATTTCTGCTTCACACACGTTGCATACCGCTATTTTACTGTCCTTTTCGGACACCTTAAAATACTGCCAGACTGGTGAAGCCATTTTGGCGAGCTTGTTTTGCCGCGCACAGAGAAAAGTGTCATGTATTTTACGTCATCATTTTACGTCATGCGTTAGAGAGCACCGTGAGTGAGTATCGGCCGATATATCGGAGCATCCCTAGTGATTATAGTCAAAATATATCGGTAGTATTATGGTCCACACTGTTAAGGTGGTGCTGATCCCAAAGAGGGCTGGAATTGTTCTTGTTTTTAGGGGAAGGTTACCCTGATCTTGTTGTTTACAGCTTGACCCAGAAGAGACACAGGACCGTAGCAAAGCCTGATTCATTGTCTGTGTGTTTCGGTTACTTTATAAACATATATTCTTTGTGCATAATATTGAATACATAAAATATTGATGTTGTCAGCAGGCATGGAAATGTGTGCAAGTCATCTTCCCTGCAAGCCCTGTGGTTATAGAATAATGGAGCATAACGGTGGAGGCAGGTTTGTTTTTGCACTGTATCTTACCCTTACTCCAGTTTGACTGAGAAATGGTGTGTTGGAAAACATTTTTTAATCTTCCTTATGCCTTTCTGTGTTGGTTCATAAAACATAACTGTGCTGCAATCTTTGAGATGTTGTTCTCAGGAGAGCATTGTTGTTGGAAACGCTACTAAGTCGCAGTCTAAACAAACACCCCCTCCGCTCAATGCATTCACGAGACAAAATCAACCAGAGCTACTACCAGAAGAGATTGAAAAATACTTAATAGAAAAATAACCTGTGGGCAATCAAACTTTTCCTATCAGGCAGCACATATCTGTTACACTATTCCCCAAGAACTGAGGAACATAACATCTCTCAATTCCTAATAGTTAAATGTACGCTTTTAACTCGATGAATCCCCGAATCGTCAAATATATAAATATTTGTAATTCAATTCAAAACCTTTATTTATCCAGGTAAAATCCAATTGAGATCTCTTTTTCAAGGGAGACCTGTAAATGCTATTTCTATGCAATATGACCATTTTTGAGGACATTTAAGAGCACACATCTCTGGTTAAGACAATAAAGTGTTGCTTTTGCATGATTCTTAGTGGAGAAATAACTTCACTAATTGATCTTCAAAATCCCGTGAATATTAGTCGACCAAGACTTTCTTGAGTCCAGGACAGAACTGCGAAAAGGCTTTTTGTCCGTCTATTTTTAGGGGATGGAGGGTTTACTCGAATAGATAACATGTACGCCTTCCCGTGTATGTTGTCCTCCGTGATGGATCTACTGTACGTGTCTAATATGACCTCCACAACCCTCCCATTACCATATCACTTTCCTCAAGGGTGTGAAACATCACCGCACTGTGGAGGTTTCAACCAGACATGCATGAACTCACTCAGGGTTATCTCCAAGGTCAAAAGCTCCTGTACAGTACGCTCAGCTAAGACTAGTAAGGCTTTTTTACCTCCGTCTTATTGTGTTTAGACTAGAGCAGTGTTTACGGGCTGGTCAATGTGTCCAGGAAGATTTCAATGTCCCAGACAAATGGAAGAAGTTCCGGTAACATATGATCTGTTAAATTGAGCTTGAAAACAATTGATAGGGCATGCTTAGGGATGGGAATTTGAAAGCAAATGTATATTCAAATATTCGATCCCCCCAAAAACGGTTAACCGGTTAACCGAAATGTACATATCCTATAAAAACAACAAAGAAAAACATTTAAGAAATAAATAAATACATGTTCAAATAAGCATAGAAACCAAGTCAAATGTATTGAACTGGTGATCACAGTTTGACAGCTATAGGCCTACAGCTTTCATGTGCGATTCACAATCAGGCCAGCTGTAGAGAAGACCCTCTCAGCTGGAACGGAGGTTGCGGGTATAGCAAGGTATAGTATGTATATAAGTTTAATTTGGCATAGTTTGACCTCTACACCGCACTCACTAACCTGGTCGAAATATTCCCACACATTACTCCTTTTTGACGCCATGTCTGTTGTGTAGGACTCTTCTTAGAGTGTAAATAATTACCGGACTATGACTGGTTGAATACCGGCAAAACTAAATCTCTCCTGTCAAAATGTCTATGTACTTTGCCGCCACACACGGTTGCCAAGCAGCGCTTATTGTTGTTTAGGCTGGCCACTCATGTGTCGCGAGTGTTGACAGGGGGCGGGGGAGCATGCTCATGAACTGTTAGCGCCTGAACCTCGCAACGGCTGTGGAGCGCGTTTGCGCCGCATTTGGGCATAAGATGAGGTTTGAGTACCTGCGGGATCTGCGTGTAGGGAGGGGCAGCAGCCATATCATTAGCTGGAACTAGCTAGATCTGTCCCACTGTGAGGGACCGGTCAGCGGAGCCAAACACACCTTTAGACGTCACCTAACACATTTAGCTATGGCACTGTCGTATACATTGAATTATTCAATTTGATAATATNNNNCCACATCGTCACCCGCGTCATTGCTGCCATTTGCTTTGCCAACACAGTCTTTTCCGACGTGTTTCGACGCCAGCGTCCGGTACATCCTTCGCAGGACAGTGCACCCAGCAGGCCTGCGCCTCAGCAGACCCCCCCCGCACGGCAAGAGTTTCGTTAGCCGAAACTTAAAAAATGTTTCCGCGCTCAAAATGTCGCTTATCTGTCTTAGGTTCTTGACACGTCAGCAGAGTCATCTCATTAGCTACGAACTACGTTGACTCTGACCGATACTGAACCATAACAACGCGAGTGAAACAGCTCCTAATCGGACAGCCGACTGAGCAGAGGATCAGCACGAGAGATCAGAGATAGAAAAAAAGGGAGAAAAAGAGCCCTGCCTCTCCCCACCTCTGCTGCTAAATCCACCGCGGAGAATAAACAGAAGGGCAACCATGGAAACCATGCTGGGAAGTCTTCTTCGCTGCTTTTGGTGTAGCGGAAGTACAGCGCCACTTACAGGCCCGGCATATGTACTACAGCATCTCCAGCAGGTCGAGCGGTCTTGTGTGGAAGGACACGTTTCTGGTGCCTATTGCGCGTGGACGGAATACTTTTTTGATAACAATTTCGGTTCGTTTGCATTACCGTTCTCGTGTGGCTCCAGCCTAAATCAGTGTCGCTGCAGGTTTCTCACACCATCGCCCAGGCTGGAGGTGGCAGGAACAATCACAGCCACATGATACAGTCATGACTCCCCCGCTGCTAAATTAAGTGCAACTCCATCTTCCTCTGCCCCCCCGGAGTGATGTTAAGTGAGGCTTCACATGGAAATTCTATAATTGAACCTCTCTCAGGCCTCGTTTTTCTGAGGCCTACATCTCGTATGGAGAGGAGAAAACTTCATAGATATTTATTCTCCTTACACAGGTTCACACTTAATTGTGTATTTCATTGTCTTACCATTTAAATCCATAGTCAGAAGCAAGAGAAGGTGCATTGTCATGTTACAGCAACAGCATTAGAAAAAATTGGTTGAAAGAAAAAAAACAGGAGGTAAAAGAGAATAAAGAAAAAATGCAAAGAAGTGTGAAAGAAATGTTAATGCTCTAAAGGTATTTTCTGAATATTTTTAAGTATAGCATATTAACGTGGTTATAGCACTGTTTATAAAGATGGCGTACCATATTTCCAGGTGGTGCAATTATTGTGTTTCAATTTGACATCCATGTCAACATTGCTCTGTCTGTTTTCTACAGCACACTCAGAAATACTGTAATTATAGAAGCGACCCTTTTACATAGGGTTTTCATTATGTTCATTCATTAAGACTTAATTGCCCGCTACATTTTCTTTATGAATGTATTTTAATTTATTGTGACATCACACTTTACAACCATTTTTTTTCCATCACGATATAGTGATGTTGTTGTTGCTGTTTATTACTACATTTTGTCTAGTCATCACAAAAGCTTATTCAGGTAGTTAGTTTCGTAACGGACGTAATGTAACAGTTGTAACGGTTGTAGCTTTTCTCAGACGTGGAGGGATACTGACTTGTTGTGAAAAGTAACTGCAATTCTACCCGTGATATACGCTCATTATATCACGGCTAAGAACCAATCAGATTGCTTGATTTGACTTGTCCGTTTTATAATGTAGCATTAATAATGGTTAACATTATAAATTAATATTTCATTGTTTACTAATGTTTATAATCAAGTTGTCTTTTATCATGAGATTGTAGTGTGTGAATAAAAACATTGCCCCTACCTGCTTTCATAAATAATAAGTATGGTGTGTGTCTACTTTATACACTCTTGGGAGTAGAGCAACAACACCATCAAAATCTGTATTTTGCAATTGTTGTTATAAATAGTTCATCTCACAACAAGACAGAAATAGTTCTACCTGCACAAAAATACACTTCTAAGAAAACTGTGGAATTTTAGAGACATTGAAGGGTTTATAATTACATATCTAAAGCTTATTTGATCATTATTGACATTATTTATAGAAATGTTGATGTTTCTAGTTGCCGATTCGATTTTCAATATTAAGCCGGGAGTCCATCATTTTTAAGCTCATTATGCTGGTTACGCTTTTCTTGATTTAACCACTGACAAAAGAGAGAGGTTAAATCATAGATGACAGGGTGTATCAGAGAGGGACGGGAGGGGGGACGGGGGACGGGTGACACTAAAATAGACTTGTTCCAGGGCAGTGGCAGAGCAGTGCAGAGGTTGTTTTATTGAATGTCCATAGAGCAGCTTGACAGCTGTTCATTGAGCCGCTCACTGTCTGGGTGTAAACACTGGAGTCAGGAGGGAGAGCAGAGGCAACCTTCCTCCAGATGAAAGGGAGATTGGCCTTGTTTAGTGAGGGCAATGCTTCGTGGGAGTTCCAACAGATACGCTATTCTGCTGCAATGCCTTTCAAACCCGGGGCGAGGAAACCACTGAGGGTCTCTGTAGCAACTGTTGTAACGCAATCAATTCTGGATTATGCTGTACTCTTGCAGGTCAAAACGAGGTCACACCAACTAGTGTATGCAGGTATTATTGTTTCATAAGTTCAGCCATCTTGCCATAAGTCAAACGGATAAAACACATTCCCCTCAAGCAGGTGTTGCAAAAGGTCCTGTGTCCATATTGCGCCTTTTTCAGAGCTCCTCAAGAAAAAATTAAGCAGAATCTTTATTTCTGACTGCCCTTTTTTCATGGCTGCTCCAAGCTTGAAGTTGAAAATACATGAACTTTATAAAAAAGCACAAGTGACGTCACCATATAAATAGTAGAAGCTTGTTTTTGGTAGCGTGTTTCAAACATAATTATAACTAACACCAAGAGCTAATTTGAGCAGAAGGGCAAATGGATAATGGATGGTCAATGTGAGAGTTGTACTTTTATATCCGTACCTGAATGTCTCACTCATCCATTCAAAGTGTGCCCAAAGCATCTTTTAATTGGTTGGAATGGTGAACAAACAATATCAAAAAAATATATGCAGTAGTACATACAGATCGAATGGGGAAATGCTAGATTTTCATACAACAGTGGTAAGACGTTAGAGAGATCGTTTTCATAGAGACAATAAGAAAGCGCTCCCCAGAGCCCTCTCAGCCCTTTTCTTCCTAATGAAGGTGCTATGTGGACACAGGCCTCAAACTCTTTATTGATCTGCAATGATTTTACTCTGCTGAGTCTATGCAACCTTATTAAATCCCAGTCAGGTATCCTGGGAGACGCATCTGGATCAGACTACCTGCTGTTAATTGGTGCATACACTTCAAAAGGAGGCTTTGCAATATGAAGGAAAAATATAAAAGCCAAAGTTAAATTAAATCTGCAAAGAAAAAGGGCCAAACTTGCAAGAAAGAAAACCTATGTTCCTATGATATATAGAATTGGTACTCGAAAAAATAAAAGAGAGATGAATTCAACAAAATGTACATTTCCACAGTTATAAATCAATCAATACAACATCAAAGCCTCTTGCACTCTACCTCAAGAGGTTCTCTGTGAGCATATACTCCTTTTTTAATCTAACTAATTTTAAATAAGTGTACAGTGCAGTATCTTTTCAATCGTTGTTTAGCTATTGAAGGTGATTGAGTTATGTAAAATCTGCCAGTAGCTCAAGTACTAATTAGCAAATGGTAAATGGATTGCATTTAACTATGCTTTTCTTGTCTTTGTAAACCCTTTGGGAGCTTTTAGATATACAAATCAGATTTGGGGGCATACTGTAGGACAGTGGTTCTCAACCTGTGGTACGTGTACCACTGGTGGTACGCCAGCTCCCGCTAGTGGTACGTGGAGGAATCTGACATATAACAAAAATTTAAAAAGATTTTTAAAATTTTTTTTATTTTTTTTTATTCAAAGGTGGGGTAGGTAATTTTGTAGAAACCAGCTCGAGTGAGCTAGAATTTGAAAATACACAACCGGAAAAAATATGCCACTTCCTTACAGAGCCTTCCACAGATGACATTTTTTTATGGATTTTTTGTCAAAACACTTCAGATATTCATTGCTATCGGGATGTTAAGAGCATTCCATGGAATATAACAAAAAGTGTATCTCGAGCCGGTTTCTCAAATGTACCTACCCCACCTTTAACCTTTACACATAACACAGACATATAAAATACAGGAAACACAACTAAGTAAACAAAAAGACGAAAAGCAGTCACTACATTGTGCACATTTGGGACATTAAGGTACACTATTATTACTGCAAGAGCAGCTGATGGTAAGGACCTCAAACAACTTCAATTTAAAACAGGCTATAGGGACAAGTGCCATCAGTTTAAGGCTTGATTGAATAACATCAATTACAAAATAAATCATACTATCAAAAATACTACAACGAATGAAAATAACCTTGAGATAATTGAAACTGTGGTTTCAATTAGTTCTAATAGGCTATTGCTGTTTTTAGATTTAGAAACAAAAACATTTATTTTTTTTATTTCTGGCGTTGCTAATTACGACCTTGTTACTGTTAATGTTAAAATCAATGTTTTAATGGGGAAATGTAGTTTAAACATGCCGTCAGTTTTAATGCTCTTTT